TATGGGTTGTTCTGGATGTGGAGGGGTGGAAGCTGTACTATACAATAGTAATGGATTGTATACTTTATTTATGTTGCATCTTTCTCACACCCTCAGTGCTCTGGATATGGAGGTATACAGGGTTGTTTGAATGTGATAGGCCAGTAGGTGCTCTGCATGTGCTGGAGTGCAGGGTGTTCTAGGTAAATCAGTGCTGGATGAAAGTTTGTGCTCCTCTCCTGCAGAGACAGGTGGAACAGTGGTATTTTTAGCTCTCCTGGTAGGAGCACTTTTTTCACCAGCAGTAAAAAGACCGCTAGCTTAGACAGGATTTGCATTAATGCGGGTGCAGATGACAGTATGAGAGTCAGATGGCAGTGAAATAGTCGTGTGAGTGCGAGAGCGATGATGTCTGACTGACAGCTCGGTCACGAGCCACGATTTAAACCCTCCACATCAGTACAGTGCTCACGCGGAGAGCTTATTAGCACGTCAGCACGTTAACACTCCAACTCAACCACTTTATGCTTTCTGTCTCTCTCTGTCGTTCTCACCATGTGTCTGTGTTTGTCTCTTGCTCTCACTCTCAAAAGTGCCTTGTATCACTGATGATAAAATCATGCTGTAGGTTTAAGTGAATTATTTCTCACGTGTAGCAGATTGAAACAAGCAGAGAAATTGGATAGTGCAGATTGTGGGAAGTCCATATTAATGTTTGTGTGTGGAGGAGAAGATAATTTACAACCCCATTTCCAAAAAAAGTGCAATATGTAAATATAAATAGAATGCAAGGATGTGCAGATCACGTAAACCATATTTTAAAGTAAAATAACTGCATATCAGATGTTGAAACTGAGAGATTTTATTGTTTTTGAAAAATATATGCCATTTTGAATTTGATGCCAGCAACACATTCCAAAAAAGTTGGGACGTGGGCATGTTTACCACTGTGTTTCATCAACTTTTCTTTAAGCAAGACTCTGTAAGCGTTTAGGAACTGAGGAAAGTGAAAGTGATATCTTTTTCCATTCTTGTTTGATATAGGATTTCAGCTGTTCCAACAGTTCGGGGTCTCCTTTGCTGTATTTTTCATTTCATTATGTACCAAATGTTATTAGTGGCTGACAGGCCTGGACTTCAGGCAGGCCAGTTTTGCATCTGGACTCTTTTAATACAGAGCCATGCTGCTGTAATACATGCAGAATGTGGTTTGTCATTGTCTTGCTGAAATATGCAAGGCCTTCCCTGAAAAAGACGTCGTCTGGATGGCAGCATATGTTGCCAAAACATGTATATATTGTTCAGCATTAATAGTGCCTTCACAGATGTGCATGTTGCCCATGCAATGTGCGCTAATGCATCCCTATATCATCATGGATAATGGCTTTGGAACGGTGCACTGATAACAAGCTGAGTGGTCTTTAGCCTGGAGGACACAGGGTCCATGATTTCCAAAAAGACTTTCAGTTGTTGATTCGTCGGACCACAGGACACTTTTCCACTTCCCCTCAGTCCATTTTAAATGAGCTCGGGCCCAGAGAAGGCGGCGGTGTTTCTGGATCCTGTTTATGTACAGTTTCTTCTTTGCGTTTTTGAGTTTTACGTTGCATTTGTGAATGCAGAGACGAACTGTTTTTACAGACAGTGGTGTTCAGAAGTGTTTCTGAGCCCATGCAGTGATTTTCCTCTACAAAATCATGTCTGTTTTTAATGCAGTGCTGCCTGAGGGCCCAAAGATCACAGCCAGCAAATTCTGTTTTTTGGCCTTGTGCCTTGCATACAGAGATTTCTCCAGATTCTCTGAATCTTTTAATGATATTATGTACCGTAGATGATGAAAAGCAAAAGTTCTTTGCTGTTTTACGTTGAGAAACATTATTCTTGACTTGTTGCACTATTTGATCATGGAGTCTTTCACAGAGTGGTGAACCCCTCCTCAACTTTACTTCTGAAAGACTCAGCCTTTCCAAGATGCTCAGTTTATACCCAATCATGTTACTGACCTGTTGCCGATTAACCACCAGGTGTTGTGATTTTAATCATCACACAACTTTGCCAGCCTTTTGTTGCCCCCATCCCAACTTTTTTGGAACGTGTTGTTGGCGTCAAATTCAAAATGGGCATATATTTTTCAAAAAACAATAACATTTCTCATTTTCAACATTTGATATGTTGTCTTTGTACTGTTTTTAATGAAATATAGGGTTTAAATGATTTGCACATCATTGAAATACAGGCTCAAGAAGTACAGGCTCAAACCCATTGTTGCAGAATGAGAATCAAATGGAAGTGTCATTAACTGTATAATCAGTTGTAGCAATGCGACAGTAGTAGCTCTAGACTATTATATTGTAGGTGGAGTCGTTTTACCAGTGGAGGTGCTGTAATGTGATTTGTCTAGTTGATTTGTACAGGATAAAGTATCTATCTAGTTTCCCCAAATTATCTTGTATCTCCTAGTTTGAAACACCATAGCTGAGATGTTCATGTCGGCGTCTTGAGACACTCTCTGAATACAATTTATTCATTTATTCATTCATTCATCATCTTAAACAGTCCAGCTGGGGTTGCGGTAGCAGTAGTGAAAGCAGAGAGTCCCAGACATTGCTGCACCCCGCAACTAGCTCAAGCTCATTCTGGGGGACCCTGAGCCACTCATAGGCCAGCAGGTCCTAGGACGGCCTTGGGGTCTCATCCCGGTAGGCTGTGCCTGATAAACCTCTAATGGGAGATGGCTAGGGGGCATCCTGATCAGCGATGCATTGTTTTGCAGACGATGTTTTCCTTTTGGCTCCATCACATGGATGCCTACAGCGCTCACTGGAGTGGTTTGCAGCTGAGTGCAAAGCGGTTGGTATGCTGATCAGCACCGGACTAGTTCATGGTTGTAGTCCGGATGGCATGTACCCTCCAGGTAGGGGGGAAGGACCTGCTCCAGATGGAGGAGTTTAAGTATCTCGGGGGGGATCGTGAGATCAGCCACAGGCTGGGACAGGCTGCAGCCATAATGCGGTCACTGTACTGGACTGTAGTGGTGAAGAGGGAGCTGAGCCACAAGGCACAGCTCTCTGATCTACATCCCGACCTCACCTGTGGTCATGAGCTTTGGGTAATGACCGAAAGAATGAGATCACGGATACAAGCGGCGGAAAAGAGCTTTCTTTACAGGGTGGTGGCTACCCTCTACTTGACAAGGTGAGGAGCTCAGAGTAGATCCGCTACTCCTCCTCATTGAGAGAAGCCAGTTGAGGTAGTCTGGGCATCTAATCTGGATACAATTTATATCTTGTTTATTTATCATTTTCCAAGATGAAGTTATCACTTATATCAGTCAGAAATGTTTTAAAAACCAGGATTAACGGCTGAAACTAAAAATGATCTTAGAAATGATTGAAAACGTAAGTAAGGCAAGTAAAAGTATAGGTACATTAGTGGGAGAAGAATTAGTCTTTTTCTGTAGGTCAGTATTTAGTGTTTTATTTATGTTAGCATTTTTTATTATCTTTTCTTTTTGCATATCTTACAACTCAGTATCTTGCAGTATCTTACAAATATGACAGCTTGAAGTCTTCCAGACATGGAATACATGGCTTGTTGCATGTTCTCTTTTGGATGATTTTGGCAAGTTTTAAACACGGCCTGTCTCTTTCCACCACTTCAGTACATTTTCACTCTTTGTTTTGGAATTGCCAGTGTATCTGTAATCTTTCCCACAGTCATTTTATTAATAAGAGACAAATTTCTTGTCAGAACTAAATGAACCTTTTTTTTTCTTTGTTTTTTGACTTTCTCAATCTTTTAAATGTTAATGAACTTTAGAGCCAGGTGTGTTGATGGTACGTTGGAGAGCTCTGATTTGCACATAAGCATTTGCATTAGTGTCTCAATATTTGTCCCAAATGCCAAAATGGTAACTTTACAGCAGAAGGGAAAAACATCTTTAACTTTTAATATAAGTTTATGTAAAGACTTTCTATTACAAATAATGTTGGACCATTTCTGTTGGCCCATTCATCATGAAATTTTTATATAATGTAAAGGACAACAGGTATTTTCAAATTTTGTTAATTAAAAGAAAAATTACAAAAATGCACATACAGATTTTTGAAGATACAACTTTTGAGCATAGCCATTACCTGTTAATTGTTTGAAAGGAGTTTTAATTGGCCGATTCCCCATTCATTTTCCTCATTGGTAGAACGGACTCTAGAATCTTCTTGAAGGTTGTACAAGTGCAGTTCTGCTGCTACTGCAACTTAAAATATAACTGCAACCCTGCATTCACACCAGCAGCTACACGGCAGCTGGAGGTCATTTATTTTCAATGAGAGCTTCCGATTTCCGGCGACAGGAGGCAGCGCGAACGTTGGCAACGCAAAGTGGGCGGAGACGGCGTCGCGACAAAGTGGGGGAGTAGATCTATATGCAAATAGGGAGTAAAGCGAGGTGGCGATTACCAATAGAAATTGAACACTGAGCAGCGTAGTACGTGCTTTATCTCCACCACTGTGAAACGGTGTGCTCCGTATTTGGTTCCTAGATAGTTGTTCCTACTACAGATGGTTCCTACTAATGGCGGCGGTGCGTTCGACACAAATAGACTGTAATCACAAAGACCAAATCCCGTTTTCCTCACGTACTGACTGCACAGACACAGGGATTAAACAAAAAACAAGCACCAGGATTTTTAAATTTAGCGGGAATGCATCTGATCTGTGCTTGGCAACACTGAAACCATGGCAACCAATGGTCAGTTGGAGATCAGAAATTATCGATTTGGGCAATAAGGCAAAAAGTTGCGATGTGCTGCGGTGTGAATGCAGGGTAACTTTCATTATGGGCTCATCATGCAACATGGTACCTCTGTCTGGTGTAAAGCGGGTCTAGCTTGTGAATTTGGGCACCGAAATAAAAAACAAGATGTTCCATATTGCTGATACCATGCAGAGGGTGTATGTGTGAAAAAGGCTTATGTTTAAAATGGATATTCAGTTCAAGTCTGTCTGTTTCTCTCTGTGCAGGTACTCATCGTGGCTGGGCTGCCGTACAGATGCGGTTGCTACATGAGCTGGTTTACGCGTCTCGCCGCATGGGGAACCCGGGCCTCTCCGTCCGCCACCTGTCCTTCCTGCTGCAGACCATGCTGGACTTCCTGTCTGATCAAGGTCTCACATGCACACACAGACATATGCGCCTGTCCTGAATATTAAACAGCTATCACAATGCATCCAACAATAAAAGCAACATGGAGCTTCTTTTACACAGGGATAGAAAACACTGTAGTACCCAAAAAGCTGCAGTTCTGCTTTCTGATACATTTTACTATGACCAACTTGGATATGCACATCCACCAGCTACTCTGGGGACACATTTTAATCAGTTAAAGTATTGCCAACAGGTAGGTAATACTGGGTTAAAGGCTAATCAGGTTTATTTAAGAATCAATATCCATGTATAAATAGTTGTGGCATTATTAGTGACTGTGCTAGATTGGGAATAATGCTAAATCCCACACACTGTATCCCCTTGTTGTGATGTCAGCAGTCCTCAGCGTTTAAACCAGCTTTTGGCCACAAACGTTTCAATATGTGGTTTTAACAATTGTTTAGATCAGGGGTCGCAACCCAAATGTTAAGAAGAGCCATTTTGTTCTTTCAACAAAAATCAATCCGCCTTGGCAGCGACAACACTTTATGTCCATTTTACCATCTTGGCTGTAAATATGTCTCGGTATGTGCTAATGTGCTAGTGTAGGCTAAAAAATACGATACAAACGAAAACACAAACTTACTTTGCTCTGCTATAAGTTTTAGATCAGCTATAGCCGAGCCATTTATTGCTAAAACTGTGTTAAAACTGTGTTATACATATTTTATTTTTACCAAAAAAAAAATAAATTGCTTAGTCATACCAGAGAAGAAACTTTGATGAATATGTTGAGTGCTAAATCTAAGTACATCCTACTTAGCTGTACTTAGCACTGTAGCACAAACACAATTTTTGCCATCGAAAGTGTACACACTGGACACAGTGCAGCTTTTTTGTAATTTTGCTGGGTTTTTGAATCGCAGCCTCATTCAGCTGATTTTGGAGATGCTCGCACCTCTAAAGTGACAGAAGACAAACTAATCCTTTTAGCATTTGTCGAGAAGTTCAGGTTGCTAGGACACAGCTGGTAACTCATCTTGGTTGTTGCCATGCCAGCGCCAGAGACAACAGTGATTGGTCGAGTGAGTTCTTGTCACCTTGGAAAATGGGCAAAGCTTTCAACAGGCAGTGAATAAAATAATGTCACATTTTTCTCATTTGTGCAAAATATCATCAGTTACTCACGTGTTTAAACTGCTTTATTTACATTCGAAATTGCACACATAACCTCGTTTTTCTTACCTAATTGAAAAGTCACAGTGAAAGTCAAACTTTACTTCAGCATTTTAGGAAGGTAAGTTGTCCCCAAACTTTTGACAGGCAGTGGGAGTACACTTTCAGTTACAGTTCAGTCACTCGCTGCTGCAGGCAGTGCTTGACTTTCTCTCAGACCAAGGTCTCCCTCTCACACGCATTTACAAAATTAAAATTCTGGCCTCTGTTTTGACACAGACTGTCTCGTAGCCTGAACAGAGCAACATTCAGTTAGAACAACAACAAAAACAAAAACGTTCAGATGAAGAAAGGAAACAAAAGACAGACAGTAAGCTTACAGTTACTCACCTTAAACCACCTTAAACGTGGTCTTTAAATGGTTCATTCTTCTTTGAGGGCATGTTCATAGCAAAGAGTTGACATTTTTCCATTTCTAACACTAGAAGTGTAACGATACGCAAATTTCATGGTACGATACGTGTTGCTGCTTTTGCGTCATGACATGATACATTTTTAATACAGAATTAGAAAAGAAATGCTAACACCTTTCACATTTATTTATTTGTTAGTTTGTTTGTTTGTTTGTTTTTTGTAATTCCCCCTGATGTCCCAAAAAGACAACAGTGCTTGTTGCCCCATATCTGCTGCTCCACTTAAGGTGGAATGGAAAGCTCAAATAAGAAGCTGGCTAACTTTAGCTTTGCATTTTCTCCTCACTCTGGTAACTGATACGTTTAATGTCTTCAGTATCAGTTGGCATCTTTGAGATATTAGCTAGGCCTGTGTTATATGACGATTTGATCATCCCTAAATTACCTTACACTGCCGTGATATCCAGTGATATTGACAATAATTATATTATTGTTATGTATTGTAAAGTTTAGGGTTTTCTTGTTATGTATGTATTAAGTAGCCTGTTAAAATACTTTTTCAGACAGGCACCCTGACCTCGTTATGAACCCGTCTGCCGTGACCTTAATTGTGGAAAAAAATAGGCAGAACTCTTTCGAAACCTGATGAAAACGGTCAGCCACTCAATCCAAACGATGTAATGTGTAAAAAAAAATAAATAATAAAAAATGTAACAAAGACGTTTTTCCAAAAGATCCAAAAGCGACACTTTGTATCTTGATCATCCAAGGCTGGCTTTACACTTCATGGAACTTCAGTTGCTTAAAATTGATTGAAATGATTGACGGCGCGAGTGTTTCGCATCATCTTCAGGTATTAATTTATAGTCATGCATGTCTGTTACTGCACACTGCATCAGCAAGACCAGCAATTCCTCAGAGAGGAAAGTTGACTCTCCTGCATCACAGTGGATAACAGCTCTAACAATGTGCTGACCGTCAAAAACTCAACTGGAACTGGCTGTTTTTTCGGACACAGCTTAAATCTAGGAGTGACAAACTCTGTAAAAACTGGGTTTGACGTTCTCTCACAGTTGGCAGACGGCCCAAATCAAGCCTGGCCTCCCTCAGCTTGTCCTCATAACAGTAAAAAGCCTTAGCATAACTGCATTATTATTAGTATTATTATTACACTATTATAACACACACATAACTAAATTAAACCTAATGTTTAATGCTATTTAAACCTAATGACGCTCAACAGCGCCGCTCCATGGTTGTAGGTTTGATCATTTAAGTGTAAGTTTTTTTAATCAGTTCTAGACGGTTACATCATTAATAAAATTTTTAAAAATGGTAAATCGTGAGCAGGGAAAAAGCAGTATTACAAAAGCCTTGCATTAGCACGAGTATTTGATACTCACATTGAGCAGTGTTGGCGTGACGCTGTTTGTTGTCAGCTTGGCTAATCAGCCTTCCAGTGTAGGCTAACTTAACCAGTTTTCAGTTCCGAGCTGTGTAGAGATTCACTCCGAATCCTATTGTCTCTCAACTGGAAGAGTTTCTCGGTACTTCTGAAAAAAGTGATTTGTGGGGCAGTTTATATATACGTCACGAATGAGCTTGAACCTATCATTTCGACAAAATTTTCGAGAGTTGTGTGAAGCCGAAAGCGCCTTCGCGAGCTTACAAGCTCGCATACTTTTTGTGGTTTCTTTTTGCCTGTCGCGGACGCTCCACTAATGCGGGTGACGCTGTGACATTTTATTATACGTTCGATGACTACTGGAAAATAATTATATCACAGTTCCAACTAAATAGTGCCAGCATTCTGGACTCGGCGTGCAAAGGAAAATAGGACACCGATAAGAAGCGAACTTTGGCCTTGTCCTCTTGTAAACCTAATATGTTTGGTGTTTACTACTAGTTAGTACTACGGAATAACTGACTTAGCATCTTACATTTAGGAGTTATTCATTGTAACAGTGAAATATTGTTGTCTCTGCCAAAGCACTCAACATACTTTTTGCAAAACAAATATGTCCATCTTAGTTTAATGGCACGCCTTTTTTTTCTGACCAATGACGGTCTTTGTCATGTAGTTTCTTTGTCCGCAGAGTTCGCACAGCTCTCCGCAATTACATCATATTGTTTGCTAAAGCCAGGCAAATGCCCTCTCCACAAGAGGTATGCTGAGGCCTTAACATAGCTGACTTGATGTTTGAGATGTTTGGACTGTGTAGTTAGCCGTTAATTAAAATAGATAAATGTTGGTATTTAAGATTATCACGGTGGCCAATATGTATTTCACATCTGACTAATAAACTGTCAAACATGGTGTAGAACTATCCTGGTGGGAAGTAGCAGTAGCTTAGCATGCTACACTTTCACACCCTACAGCTCAGGTTTATTTCTGGCTCAGTGAAGATCCACTGACATGACTTTAAAGGATAGAGACTCAAATCTGAGGGTGTAAACCTGTTTTTGTTTGTGGAGCTGTTAGCTAAGCTGCTCTTGCCCCACTGTACTGTACATGTTAGCACCAGAGGCAAAAACAGCTCAACACATCACAGGTTCATGTCATTTAAGTATTTGCCACTGGAGTGCAACTTTAACCTTCAGCAGAGCGAGAAACGTTCAGTTTCGCTCAGACGACAGAAGGAAATCCAGCTTTTAGGGGTTCATTTGGAATGTTTTGGCTCTCACTGAGATGTTGTTGCCAGATCCTCTCTCCACAAACACACGCTGTGCTTAATCACTGTTCTTTTAGACCCAGCTTTTCTGCTTGGTTTAACATGTGTAAATGGACAACAGCAGGCCTAACCTGCACGACCAACAAAGTGCTTTTTACAAAAGCTTCACGTTTTAGTTTTTTAAACTGAAAAGGCAAAAACATTTCCTTCAAGTTAGGATCAGGGTTAGGTTTAAGACTAAGATGAAAAGATTTTTACTTAAAATAGATACTTGCATATTGTCACTGTCTGTGTGTGTGTGCATATATGTAGTATATGATATAGTATAGATATATATATATATATATATATATATATATATATACACACACACACACACACACACTATATTGCCAAAAGTATTCGCTGGTCTGCCTTCACATGCGTATGAGCTTGAGTGACATCCCATTCTTAACCCGTAGGGTTTAATATTAATTTGCCCCACCCTTTGCAGCTATAACAGCTTCAGCTCTTCTGGGAAGGCTTTCCACAAGGTTTAGGAGCGTGTTTATGGGAATTTTTGACCATTCCTCCAGAAGCGCATTTGTGAGGTCAGACACTGATGTTGGACGAGAATTATTTTCAAATTATGTCAAAAACTGAAAAATGATAACAAAACCTTGTATCTCCATTTTTATGTGTATGTGTATGTATATATATATATATATATATATATATATGTAGACATTTTTTCCCCCTTGCGTTACCCATTGCATTGTG